ATGAGGAACCTATAATCATCATTTCCATTTTACTTAAAGAGGTTGAATATTGTGGCTCAATAAATGCCAATAAATGTGGAGCCGAATTTCTAACAAGGCAATTGACTCCCAAGTCCATCTTGCTAAATCCACACATTTTATATTGCATGCTAAGCCTGGCACTAGGAATAGAGATAAATGGCAAGAAAAGCAGAGATATTTTCTGCTCTTTCTAAGCTGTAGCACAGTGGAGAAATAGTTATTAACCAAATCATTGTAAAACTATAAACTGAAATCAGTACCCTAAAAGAAAGGGTATAGTCTGTGAGAGACAATAGGAGCTTGAATAAACATGTGAGTTGGAGAAGGCTTCCTGGAGGAGATGACAAAAACTTAGATCTGAAGAATGAGTAACAGTGAATCAGGTGAAGGAGAAAGGCACATTTCAGATAGAGAGAACAGTATGTGGGAAGGTCATGGGGCGGAGGGAACATGGACGCTCAGGAACTGGAGGAATTCACTGTGACTGGAGCTCGCTGGAGACTGGTTGGTAAGAGGCCAAAGCCAAGGCCTATAGGGAATGTGAAGGATTCTGATTTTTATTTTAAGGACAATGTAAATCTCAAAGGATTTTAGTCAGAGGTGACATAGCCAGGTTTATTTTGATGAGACCTTTCCATCCGAAATGTGCCAGATATACCGGGAGAAACCAGAGGGAACGAGGAGTAGATTTCTGGTAGACTTTTGCTAAAGCCAGGTAAGAAATGATGAATAACTTGGTCTAAGGAAGTGAAAGGGGGGGAAGGATGGAACAGACTCAAGAGGTATTTAAGAGGAAAATTTGGAAATGGTGATGGCTTAGTAAGCTTTCTATAGGGTGAAATAGAAAACACTAGAACAAGACCAAAATTTAGGAGGGCAGATCATGAGTTCAGTCTTGGGCGCAGTGAGTTTCATGTGCACTAAAGGCATCCACGTGAAGACTTTGAGTGTGCAGTTGGCTATAGATGTGGATCCAGAGGATTCAATCAGTCACAGGTACAGTAAAGTTGCCCAAGTGAAAAGAGGATGTGCTAGCCTCGGGGGAGAACTATTTCACAATTGTAAAGAATTAAGAATCAGTAAAAAATATATTATTAGTTGAGCATGTAAACTAGATTGTAATTTCCAGCAACCACTGAGGGCACACTGGAAGTTGGTAATAATGAATTTATGGTGATTTTTTTTCTGTTCTGAGGTGTGACTCTGCAAAAGCACCTGTTTGCTTGGGAGCAGAGAAAAGGAAAACTGATCTAGGGCTGACCCAAGATTATCGCTAATCATACAGATAATAGGGCTAACCCAAGATTTTATGAGACACAGGAAGTAAAAATGCAGAGGGCCAGTGGATTCAGGTATATAACATAATTTAGCATGCACTTTTTAATACAGAGAAGATTTTTTTTTTTAATTTAGGAATTTGAGAGATACATTTTATGTGTATCTTTTTACACAGGAATTTGTGGAATTTAGGAATTTGAGAGATACATTTTATGTGTAGATGTTTGTTCCTATTTTAAGTGTTTCTTTGGATAAATTCCTGTAAGTAGAATTACTCAAAAAGTAAGAATAACTTTTCAGCCTTTACATGACATCCAATTTGTTGTCGAACGGATTGCCCTAATTTTGTCTGCACTGGGCCAGAGTGTGTTCTAATTTGTATTCTTTGCATTTGACAGGCAAAAAGAATCTATTCCCCACATTCCCTTAGCTGCTGCATGCCACTAATGATTTCTTTGGTTAAACTCCATATCTCTCGCGTATATGAGTTGGTCTTCATGCTGCTTTTGCATATTCATGAACTTTGTCTAATTATCAAATCTTTGGATCATAAGTTCTTCCCTTCTCAAACTGCTAAAGATCTTATCCCATTTTATTTTGACTTCCAATAGTGTGGACAAAGTTGAGACCAAACTCTTCCAAGCACAGGGAATACAGAGGCCCCTAGGTGGAGAACACTTGGGAAGAAATCCAGTGTTAGCAGAGTGGGGAGTGAGAGAGAGAAACAAAGAAGGTGAGAAAGCAAGCTCTAAGGACTGAGGCCAACAAGATAGTGCGCAGGGGACAAGTCACGACGAGTCCATAAACCAGGGTGAGGACGACACAGTTCATTTAGAGTCTAACAGAGCCCCGTACAAGCCAGGGTGAAGACTGTGCAATTGTGAGTCAGATGAGAAACAACTGGATGGTTCTGAGGCTGGGAGTGATGATGAGATCACATGGGCTGGGTACCACTAATTGGGCAGGGTAGAAACAGTGGTCTCTTTAGTCTGCTCACTCTCAGATAGTTCAAGGGCAGAAGTGGGGTCTAGGGCAGAAGTGGGGTCTAGAGCAGACATGGGGTCTGTGAGAGGTCTGGGTCTGACCTCCCAGATCAGTTCTTTCTATGCTGTTTAAATGGAGAGGCCCGAAGAGGACTCAGAAAACACTGTCCCTTTGGCTTTAAGGGACGGGGCACTGAAAGTTGGGAAAGGCCTGGGCTTGGAGGAAGGGCTTCAGCTGCTTTCCCCTGGCCAGAAAGAGGAAGGAGAGAAAGAGAGAGAGAGAGGAAGAGAGAGAGAAGATTGATTGAGAGAGAGATAGTTTATAGCCTAGAGTTATCTGCCTCCTTCCTGGCTTGGCTCCTAGCATCCTCTCTTCAACTCCCTCTGAGGATCTTCTTTTGTAACTAATATCTGGCAGATCCTGAAGGATTATGACTCTAAGTCACTTTCTGCTCATTTTCTCTCCCCCTCATGCAGGGTGTGTGAGAGGGGGTGTTCCCGGGATAGATTTTTTGGCTTTCTTATATTCAAATGATATCATCTGCCTAATCATTCCACAATTCTGATTAGATATCAAGTTCATTTTATAATTTCTTCAATTTCCCATTGGTTACAAATATTATTCATACTCTTTTTTAGAGCTGTTGATTGAATCTATACTTTGGATGCCATAGCCCCTACCTTTAAATCTTATCCTCCTTGAAACTCAATCTTAAGTATGTTTAGAAATCCCACTTCCACTAAAGGATAACTTTGTGAGCTCTGGGGTAGCCTCAGGAGTGCAGGGTAATCGGCCGTAACCAGCTTATTGGTTCTCTTTAATTCCATGTGAAATCTCAGCCTCCTTTCCCTCCATGTATATGAAAAATGCTCTCACTAAACTAGCCTCCCTCACTACTTAGGCTGCATAAAGCAACAGAAGGACTTGTTGAATTTAAGCCCCTGAGGTCTGGGGCTTTATGGGAATACTTATAGAATTTACCAAGTCCAGAGAAGAAGGACTTTGCAAATCTTGAGTGCCCAGGGTTTCTGAGAAGATGTTCAGTTATTTATAAATTATTTATTGAACATCAGCTGTGTATTAGATACTGAATTTTGAGCTTGCTTTACACAGTCACTTAAGACATCGTTCCTAAAGGGACCAAGTCTGACAAATGAATATACTTAGATTTTTCAGCAAAGAGTATCTCAGAGTATAGGTGAAATGATTCATTTATTATACAGAACCCAATAAGAAAATAAGGAAACAAGTTTAGAGGCATGATATTTTGATGATGAACGGATGATCCAGGTGTGGTTGAGTTAAAAAGGTAGAGCTTGAGTAATAACTGAATAACTGTGAGATAAGACTCAGTTCCTCAGTATGATTGGCTTAGAAGGGGGACGATGGGGCTTACCAGGCTAAACAGGTGGAGAATAGGCCAAGGAGAACTGACTAGAATACAATGAGGGCTTTTGCATTTATCTTAGATATGAAGGGTAGCCTTGAAAAGTTTTAAGCAAGGTTGTATTATGACCAGACTTTTATTTTAAAAGACCATTTCATCAGCAAAATTTTGCTCTGAAATCACTTAGAGTATTACTGCGATGACCCACATAGGACAAAGGCCTGAGGGCTGAGATGAGCATCAGCTGGAGTGGGGAGCAGGAAGAGATTGTAAGGGGGGTGAGAGGGATGAGATGTAGGGGTGGAATGAAATTCTTTGGACATAAAGGAAACTATGATGGTTACACAGAACAATAAGCACAAGGAATACCCCTTTTCATTTCTGGAATCAGGAGTATGTACCCCATGGAATCAACACACCCCACACATTAGGGCTTTTTAATTTTTTCCTTCCAGGGAACTGGTTTACCAGCTTATCACTGAAGGCACTGAAGATAGGTCTTATTGTTTCCATTATATAGGTGAAATCTAGGCTCAGAGAAGTAATTTCCTAAATTAGTTTAACTTTAGCACCACGTGTGTTCTTGGGAGGTAAAGCATGGTGTTAATATAAGCAAATCTCTTACTTTTCTACTGAAGCGGTGGACTGCAGTTGGATTTAGATTTTCTGCATAGATTACTCTCCTGAAGTGTACATTTTCTTGCTTTCTTTATTTTCACTGTGCAAGACAGGCTATAATAAGAATATTTTAGTGTTCCTATATTTCTTTTACTTTACCATTGAACATATATAGATCATAAGATAGTCTTTGAAATCTGAAGTTTGGTGTATTTTAGAATGTTATTTTTCATTACGCTTAGTTTTCTAACAAATATAACATTTTAAAATATTTACTTCTAAGAACTAGAGTATGCCCTAGTCAAAATACCAATGTGAGGGCCAGGCATAGTGGCTCACACCTGTAATCCCAACACTTTGGGGAAGGTCAAGGCAGGAGGTCACTTGAGTCCAGGAATTCGAGAACAGCCTGGGCAACCCAGCAAGACCCCATTCTACAAAAACTACAAAAATTAGGCTGGCATGGTGGCACATGTCTGTAGTCCCAGCTATGGTGAAGGCTGAGACAAGAGGATGACTTGAGCCCAGAAGTCTGAGGTTACTGTGCATTGTACTCTAGTCTGGAGAACAGAGAGGGACCTTGTCTCAAAGAACCCCAAACTAATATGAATTATAAATCCTAAGTAAAGTAATTTTAATACAATGTTATTAAAGATGTAGCTTCAGAGGTGAAGTTCATTATTTGGTTGTGCAATAATTTTTTTTTTTTAAGTTTCAGAATATGAAGCTGAGGGAGTTCTACTGTGAGGGAAACCCACTGTTCCTGAAAGAGCCATTTTCCACTGAGTACGAGGAGGATGATGTCTGGAGTCTACAGGTGAGGGCTGACTTCATTCACATACTTCATTCACTTATTAAGCACCCAAATGATAAATGTAGCTCTAGTCCATTTGCCATGTAGCTCCTCCACTTAATCCTTTTGACTTCCTTACATAATCCAGTGTCACCCTATCAGATTTCCAGAATGACTTAATTCAGAGAAATGGTAATATTTGGGAGGATGAAAAGAAAAGAGAGAAATTTATTTTATCTGTCAAGTATTTTTTTCAGCATTGTCTAACTATGTATTTGGTTTGCTCTTAGGGAGGGGTTTCACTTCTGCCATCCTCTTTTTGTTAATCTCCCTCCCTAGTGGATAAGGGACTATAATACAGAAATCCTGTTTGCTGTGGTGCAAGAAGTTAATGGTATGAAAGGAAGAAATAGCAAAAACATTGGAGGGCTCTGTGGGTAATAAACAAGCCAAAGCTTGCTGAAAGATTGCAGATCTTCCCACAGTTGACTGTGATTCTGCGCCATGAAAATGGATTTCCCAGTTCCACTTTGGTGCATAGCTAGCTGAATGTGCAGGATTGTCATAAGACTTTCAGGATTTGTATAGGATTCAATTTTCTTGACTTCAGGGAACAATCAACCTTGTTGCTTAGTTTGTTTGAAAATATTTTTTTCCTTATTGTATAAGCACCAGATGTTTACTACAGAAAACTCGAAAACGGATGAGCAAAGAAAGAAATAAAAACCTGCTGTAATATGCTGAAGAATGTTATCTTTTAAAATTTGACTAGCTCTTTTCAAGTATATCTCCGTCCAAGAGACTATTTCCACAAGTAACATTATGTTCTACTTTTGTGTAAAAAATTTGTGTATTTGAAATTTGTTGTAAATAACTGAATGTGGTATTTAATTTTTATAAATTCCTTATAGCCTATGTTTTTCTCCTTGCATGTATTATTTCAGGTTAATAGTAGTAGCTGATACTTCCTTTAAACTTACTATGGGCAAGGCTCTGTTCTAAGGACTTAAGAGGAATGAACTACTTAAGTCATCAAATAATCCTGAAAAGATAGGCATATTATTATTCCCTCTTAATACACAAAAAACTGAGACCCAGAGAAGTAAGATATTGTCCAAGGTCACAGAGCTATTAAGTATTGGGATAAGGTGGCTCAAACTGAAGCAGTTGGCTGCATTATTGGCTCAAAAAGGGCAGTTAGAAAGGTGTGTGGGGGCACAAAACAGGATAGTTGTGGGCTGGAACAGGTTCTGGCTGGTGGAGGAGACAGAATGAACAATTAACCCAATGTGGTTTCAGTCTTACAGAGAGCTCTCAAAGGTATGAACCTTGCCCTGTGCTAGGACCAAGCTCTAAGTGAGAGAGCAATATTTTTGTCACCAAAGGTCCAGGAGCATAAGAGTTAGTTTTTAATATGTATTTAGTAGATACATAACTATTTTTATAGTTAACTATAAAAATAACTATAACTGGGAGGCACCTGTGTCTTAGTGAGTAGGGTGCCGGCCCCATATACCAAGAGTGGTGAGTTCAAACCCAGCCCCAGCCAAACTGCAACAAAAAAATAGCGGGGCATTGTGGTGGGCTACTTGGGAGGCTGAGGCACGAGAATCACCTAAGCCCAAGAGCTGGAGGTTGCTGTGAGCTGTGACACCCCAGCACTCTACCCAGGGTGACAAAGTGAGACTCTATCTCTAAAATAAATAAATAGCTACAACTATTTTTGTTTGCAAATTTGTATATTTTTAAACTTATCTCTAAGAATTTTTTCTTAGAATGGTGACAAATTGACTATTTGTACTTATAATAAAAGTCATTTGTATCAGATGTTTGGTCAATGTTGCTGATTAAACTACTTTGGGCATCAAACAATTATAGGGCTTTGATACAGGCTATGTCTTAGTAAAGATTTTTAAAAACTTCGCTTCTTAGCTGGGTGTCGTGGCGGGTGCCTATAGTCCCAGCTACTTGGGAGGCTGAGGCAAGAGAATCACTCTTGAGCTCAAGAGTTTGAGGTTGCTATGACCTATGACACCACAGCACTCTACTGAGGGTAACCAAATGAGACTCTGTCTCAAAAAAAAAAAAAAGAGTTAAAAAAACAAAAATATAAATAAAAAATTTGTTTCTTCTCAGAGATTTATGAACTATAATTTAATGCCAATAACAACAAAATAATATAAATTATTAACCAAAATGGATCACATTATTAGTTTAAGTGTCTTACCATTGTTACCTAATTTAATTCTTCAAACTCATGTGAGAGTATTGGAAAAATTCCTTTTTTACAGATGAGGTATCCAAGATCAGAGAATTTGGGTACCTGTCTGAATAGGGTCACTCAGCTAACATGGCATATGGCCAGAATTTGCATGTATATATCTATTCGACTCTGCTTAGAATCTTTGCTCTTGATGCTGTATTCTGGTGCCCATCATACCCACAGTAAGAAATGACTATATAATAGTTCCAAAGTTTATTAAACCTTCTAAGTATTCATTTTTTAAATATTTTATAGTTTTTATACTTACATATTTATAATTTTGTGTATAATTTAATGATTTAAAATAATCACAAATAAAGAAAAATAAAACGGGCGGTGCCTGTGGCTCAAAGGAGTAGGGCACCGGCCCCATATGCCAGAGGTAGCAGGTGCAAACCCAGTCCCTGGCCAAAAACTGCAAAAAAAAAAAAAAAAAAAAGAAAAGAAAAGAATACACATAAAACTCATTTCAGTTGATTCTGGATTTGAATATATATAGTTAGCTTACAAATATTCTGATAAAATAACATGTAGACTATTTTTAAAAAACCGACTTATTTACCCATATGAGCTTTTTTTTTTACTTTAAATAACACTGGAATTAGACCATCATTAAATTGTATACTCTCAAAAATCACACTGAATGTATCTACAGGAGATGTCCTAAAAGATACTATCGGTCAAGCCAATAGAATCGTATTTCATATGTACTAACATTTCCAATTAATAACTTTATATTTTAGTGGTATATGCTATTATTCCAAAGTAACACTTTGGCAGCAAGTAGGAAAGGCATATAGATTAATGGGCAATGGAAGAGTTGTCAAGAGATAGACTGAGTGTAGCAAACATGTGTGGGTCTAGAAATCATAAACAGAAAAAGTGATCTGTGTGAGCCTATCTACGGGGCTGCTGTATTTCAGTAAATTCTTCTACTATCTCCTATGTTGAGGAGGAAATCCTTCCCTGTAAGTTTTCTGCAGCTTTGTAGTGAGACCTAGCCCCTGAATTCACATAACTGAGAGCTTGCCTGTAAAATCAGCTTTTCACTCAGAATCACACACTGTTCTCTGCTTAAGTGGTTGGAGAAAGGGTGATGGTCAACACCTGATTTAGGAGCGCTGGTAATGTTAGGGTTAAGTCATGACCTCAGGCATGTAACCAGCCAGGAGAATGAGCTGAAGTGGGTAGGAGGTGGGTACATGCTTTATCAAGCATGTAAAGAGCCCAGGCTGTGTGTTGTATGAAGACAGCTTTCCCAGCTGCTTGGTAACTGGGAGGGATAGAGTAACAGAAAACAGTGACGTGCATTTGTTGGATTCTGTTGCTATTTTAAAATTTTTTAAGATTTTAATTGTGTGGGGTGAATGAGTGAAAGATTAAGTATGTTTGTATTTCCAAAAATTCCTATCACAGCCTGATGTGAACTATTTTAATACTACAGGGAAATCTTTCCCTTTGGTCAGAAAAGGAGTCCCAAATAAACCATCCCCAAACATTAACATTTCGAGTCGTGTTTGTGTAACATTTATACAGGACTTCCATGCTAGTGGCATAAACAATGGAGACCATTTAGTGGAGTCAAGCAAATGTTTATTTTCTTTGCTTGGTCACGTATCAGAAAATTGGTCTCCCTCATGTATCAGAAAATTTAATCTTATGTATCATAAAATATATTCTTATTTTGAGATAATGATGGTTGATGGCCTAGTCAAAGGCAATTTCTATTTCCTCATCATCTCTTTTATAATTTAATATCATAATATTATTATTGGCCAAAGCCACTTTTCTAAGGGGGTCTATGTGGATAGGTTTGAATTCAGAGATTTAGTTCAGAGAAATCATTGCTTTTTACCAAATGACGTTATTCAGGTACTCAATGAGACAAGTATTTTAGACTAGTGCCTCTCACATGCAAATGTGCACATAGATTACCTGAAGACTTTGTCAGGTTGCAGAGTTTGATTCAGGAGTGTGTCTGAGAGTCTGCAATTCTAATAAGCTCCCAGGTGAAACAATCAACAAACCATAGTTTAAACAAAAGATTTAGACTTTTGTGAGTAGGACAGAATCAACTTTCGAATCCAGTTCTCAAAGTTTTGTGCTGTCTTTGCTTACTGTAGTGCAAGGTATCAAATTTGAACCTAAACTATGTATCTTTATAAAATTTGTACTGTAAATGTATTGTGGTTTGAGTTCTTACATGTAAGAGAGGTAGAAATATTATAATGTATACAACTTACTGTTCTTATATCGATGAAAACCAAATTTATTTGCAGTGTCAGTCATTTTTCAACATGATTCATTAGATACGCTGCAGAATCTTAATTTAACAGTATCTGAGGGATAAACCTAATATTTGGTCTGGTGAAATGCAAATCAATGTAATATATAGTTATTTTGAAAATAACCTTAGTTGGTTAGAAAGTGACTGCTGTGAAAAAAAAAAAGGAAAATAATATGAGTAACCATATTCTTCTTCTTCAATTTAGGAAATAACATCAAGATTTCTAATGTGTATGCTAGAAGAACAGAATCCTTATCTAATACAGGCCTTAGAGTGGTACCCACAGGTCAAGAACATAATCGCTCAGAAGAAAACATGTGTAGCATGTGGAAAGCCCATTATAACCCCATGGCTGGAATGTGTCCAATTTATTCCACCATCAAAGGTAAACAGTGCTTCTGTTTGAATAAGACCTATTCCTATCCTTTTCATTATCTAAATTAGCCAAATACCAGCTGAATTTGTACCTAAGAATGGACATAATTGCATACTGTTAATTTTGAGTTAGACAAATGTGTCTGAGATGGTCATCATCACTCATCCATTTTCATGTATGGACTCCCTCATTTATCAGAAGACATACAAAATTCTAGCAACATTTCAAGGAAGTTGAAAATTTTTAGTCAGCAAATACCTTTTGTTTATCGATCTTAATAATAAAACTAGAGAACTATGTTCTCCTTGGGAGACTTGTTCAGTAGTCTGTTGTGGAAAATTTGGTAGAGAAAAGGTGAATGTCCTGGCTCATTTATGTCATGAGAACATTCTAGCACACTGAATGTACACTGATGTGCACCCACAACACTGTGTCACCAGGAACTGTGTACCCCCGTAGTTCATATAGCCAATAGAACATGTCCTAGACCAGGAGTCAGTACAGCTTTTTTTATGTAAATGGCCAGATAATAAATATTTTATACTTTGTGGACAATGTGATCTTTGATACTACGATTTGACTCTCTTCTATAGCATGAACACAGCCCTAGACAATATATAAATAAATGTGGCCATGTTCTAAGGAAATTTCATTTGTGAATTTGAATTTCATATAATATTTGCATGTCATGAAATAATATTTCTGATCTTTTCAACCATTTAAAGATGTGAAAGCCATTCTTAGCTCTCAAGTCTGATGAAAACAGAAGGTGGGCCATATCTGGCCTGAGAAATGTGTTTTTTCTTGACCTGTTTTAGACCATCCAACATTTGTTCTCAACACCAGAATTTTCTTTCTACTTTTGGTGAACACTTGGCTGTTACCCTGGTGCTCACAGCACCCTCCAACTCTTGGGCTCAAGTGATCCTCTTGCCTCAGTTTTTCTATTTTTAGTAGCGATGGGGTCTCGCTTTTGCTCAGGCTGGTCTTGAACTCATGAGTTTAAGCAATCTACCTGCCTTGGCCTCTCAGAGTGCTTTGGGTCAGTGTTAGCACAATAGTTGGTGATAATGTTAAATAGATGTATTAAAACAGATGCAGTTCCTGCTGTTCTACAGAAAGTCACCTGGTGAAGAAGACAAATGTTTATTAATTAATGTAATTATAAATTGTGGTAAATATTATGACTTAAAAGAATGACGTATTCGTTTGCTAGGGCTGTGAAAACAAAGCACTGCCACCTGGGCAGCTTAAACAAGATAAAGTGACTGTCTCACCACCCTGGAGGTTAGAAGTCTAAAACCAGGTGTTGGCAAGGTTGGCTCTTTCTGAGGGCTTTATGGAAGAATCTGTTTCAGGCTTCTCTCCTTGGCTTGGAGATGGCTGTCTTCTCCCACATCTCTTTACATTGTCTTTCTTTTATGTACGTGTGTGTCCTTATGAGAACACCAGTTATTTCTGATTAGGGCCCACCCTAATGACCTTATTTTAACTTGACCTCCTCTGCAAAGGCCCTATTTCCAAAAGGTCACTTTCTGAGCCACTAGATGTTAGGACTTCAACAGATGAATTTCGGGGGGAGCACAATTCAACTCATAACAAGTGGTAGGAGGCTATTTGTACTAAACCTGGTGAAGCATGATGGAAACAGTGGAAGTGGAGAGAAATGGGTGAACTGGAGGTAGATCTGGGAGGAAGGAATAATAGGGCTCAGTTTTCTGGCCTACAGAACTGCAGGGATACAGATTTTTTTTCCTGAAATAAGGAAGACTAAGGGAATAGTAGGTCTGTTGAGGAGAGGAGAGCATTTTGTTTGGGACATGGGTGTAAGATTCCTGCAAAATCAGGGAGTTTGAACAACAAGAAGACATGGACTCTTACCCAGTCTGTTAGGCCTGTTGGAGGATCTAGGATGTAATGGCAGGTGTGTGTGTGTGTGTGTGTGTGTGTGTGTGTGTGTGTAGTGGAGAGCTACATATAGGACTCTAATATCCTTTCTATCTCAGTCTAAACAGATTGATGCAGGGATTGGGAACCTGAGGCCTTCTGATTTCAAGATCATTCTTTTTTTTTTTTTTTGCTTTTATTTCAGATTAATATGAGGACACAAATGATTAGATTACATTGTTTGCATTTGTTAGGTAATGTCAAATTGTAGTTGAGCCTTTCACCCAGGAGGTGAGCCATATATCCTTACACTGTGCCTGTTATGTGGGAGCACACCAATCCCCCTTTCTTCTCTCTCCCTTTCCCTCCTGCCTTCTTAAATTTAATTGTGTTTTTCTCTTGTGTGGATGTGTAGTTGTTCATCTACTGGCTTCATATTAGTATTGAGTATATTGGATTCTTTTCCATTCTTGTGATACTTGACCTAGGTGAATATTCTTCAATTCCATTCAGGTTAATACAAAAGATGTAAAGTCTCCATCTTCTCTTATGGCTGACTAGTACCCCGTGGTATACATATAGCACAGTTTAATAACCCATTCATGAGTTGATAGGCACTTGGGACTGTGAATTTAGCTACAATAAACATTCTAATGCAAATGTCCTTATGATAAAATGGTTTTTTTCCTAGGATTTTCCATACTTCTTTCCTAAGAGGCTGTCTTAATTTGCAATCCCACCAACAGTGTGAAAGTGTTCCCTTCTCTCTATAACATCTGCAGCTTTGGGACTTTGTGATGCGGGCTATTCTCATTAGGGTAAGGTGATATCTCAAGGTGGTTAAGTTTGTTCTTTTTTAAACACCAAAGAAAAGAAAGAAAAGAATCACCTTTCTCTTCATTTGTTTTGTAAAATTAGGATTTAGTCAAAAGTCTGTGTTAAGGACCAGAAAGGCCACAAGTTTGCTTAAGGGCACAGGTTCCTGACCCCAAAGGCTATTGTTAAACTCCAGCAGTCCTTTTGACAACAAAGAACCTGAGTCTGTTTACATCTGTCTTATCACTGGGCATTCACCAAATTTACCAACGGAGTTTTTAAAAACACAGGTATTCTCCTCTCAAATTACTATTCAGAATCTATTGGGCAGGGCCCTGGAAATCTACATTTTAATAAAGAGTCCCCTTGATTTTCCTGTGCAGCCAGGTCTGGAAATCTTTTCTGTCTACTTAGGGCTGTCTCAGTCCCACAGGCATGGCTGTGGTTTACTCACCTTAGTCAGCAAGACCTACTTGGGGTCCTACATATAACAAAAAGGTGAAGTCATTGGATGAATATATGAATTAATAAATTATCTTTAGTGACAGTGGTATGGATAATAGTAAAAAAAGAAAGGGAAGGTGTTGGTGAAGAAGAAGAAGGTTGGTGGTGGCATATTAGAAAATGACCCACACCACTTAATATGGCCTCTCCTTGTGATCTGAGAGAATCTTTGCTCTGTCTACTTTAGGGCACATCATAGTGTTTGCTCTCTGTCAGTCTCCTTGGAACTCATATGCTGAAAGACTTTCAGTTTATCCCATTGGGAGCAGACCCGAGGCTCCTGCACACAAGGACACCATGTTACTGAGGATCTGTGGAGCTGGGATCAGGCCTCTCCCAGCCAGTGCTTCCCCAGGGATCCTAGAGGAGCTCGTGTGGACGCTGATAGTGTAAAATACGTTGCAATACATTATCCCTCCACGTTAGTCACTGCTGTTTCACAGGTTCACATTGCTGACTTCTGGATAAGGTCATCCCTACTTATTTCAGAGCTGCTTAAAATTAGTCTGTGCTGTTCACCGATTCAGGAAGAGTTTAATATTTGGGCTACGTACTGCTACTTATAGGTATCAATCAGACTGGAATTTGGTTACTACACCATAAGCCTCTTCTATCACCTTAAAGGATTGACTAAGCCAAAAAGAAGAGATATGAAAGTTTTAAATTAGTAATAAGAAACGATTTTTTAAAAACTGACAAATAATAGTAGTGCTTGTCCACTTACATAGTGATTTTTTTTCTCTCAATACCTTTATTGGTGTTTACTGTATGCAAGGTACTGTACTAGGGTCTCCGTATCTAAAGATCAATAATTCATAGTCACTGCCATTTAGGAATTCACAGGCTGTTTATTAAAATGCAATGATACAAGCCTTATCATAAGGCATTATTTACCCACACTATGGAGTGACAGACACAGCGAACAACTACTTAGGAATCTGAAAAGAAACTTCTCTCAGGAGGTAATGTTTGAGTACACGAGTTCCTGATACTCATATTAACTTTGTGATTTGGTTTTCATTGTCATTGGTCACAGATAAGCAACATTATGTAGCTTGTTCACAAGTTTCCAATCTATCAGACGATAGAGTTAGGAGTTAGCTCACCTGACCCCTCCTGACTTCACCTTCAGGTCATTTTCTGCTGCTCTATATATAGCACATATGTTTTTATTTTGAACCTTAAAGGGAAGTGCAAACAAGTTCATTGATGACGATATAATTACTCCCAAGAGCTGCTTTTATATATTTGAAACATTGTCATGTGAAAGAGAGATGAGGCTTTTCTTCTGCAGAGTAGAACAGAGAAACTGCAGGTGTTGGTCAGATAGAGGGAAGAATTTTCTTTTAGGATTTAAAACGCAAACGCGCATGTAGGTCAACATTTGTTATCATCAAAGAAAGAGTTAGATGGAAAGATAGGAGAATAACAAGATAGAGTATTATTATTCACAGTTTCATTTTAAACATTAAGAGGAAAGTAAGAATATATTTTTATCAATTAAATGTGTCTGAACACATTTAATTTATAAAAGCAGCAGCAGTGTGGCATAAAAATATAGCATGGGTTAAAAACATCATGGTTCAAAAATAAGACCTGAATGTAGACGCTAGCTATTGGCAGAAAATGTTCAAATACTGAAGAAACGCAGGATTTCAGATGAAAAGGCACCTTGTGCGCCAAACCGAATAAACAAGAACAAATCCACACGGAGACACAGTTTGGGGAAACTGTGTTCCACCAGAGTTAAATAAGTGCGAGCTAACGATGAAACCTTAAAAGATTGATCACCTAGGAAGAAG